TATTTAGTATTTTTATATATATTTAGTATTTTTTAGTATTTTATATATCTATCAAACAACTGAAAGCATTAAATGACAAAAAAGGTGCATATGTAAAGCTTTCTGAATTGTCTTCTGTAATGTTATGTAAAAATAATAAAGGGCTAGATTTGATTTGATTAATAAGGAATGGACTGACCTGCACTGATAAATGCTTCATGCTGATCGAAGCATTTTTGCCGCAGGTTCCTCTTCGTCCGCTCAGTTGCACTTTGGAGTCAGAAGATGAAGGTCTTCATATACATTGAACTGCTTGAAGAAACTCAGTTGCCTTCTCTTGTGCTGAGCTGCTGTGCTTTTGTATTCTGATGATAAACCTGTGCGATTCTGTGGGACCAAAACCATGTCCGTTTTCTGTTTCGTGTGTGTGTGAATCATCTTATAATCAAGCTTCCGTTGAAACCGCTTCAACGTCTGTACATTAGTTCTACCTTATTTGTTGTTAAAGGAAAACAATCACGTTACTGTATATTTGTGGAATGCTAATTTAAGTTGATTAATGTAATGGAGACGTGTTGAGAGAGTTTGGAGCAGGACGGCTGCTATCGGACTCTGGATAACACGACGCGTTACTCGTCACAAACGAGCCTCGTTAAGGCTTTCGTCGGGCTGGAACGCGTCGCTGTGTTATCAGATACTCTACACTGCGTTTTATTCGCTCGCTCCCATGAAAAGACCACAGAGGACATTTGTAGAAGACATATTTTTGTAAAGGTTGGAGCTTCGGATTTTATGGGATTTTGTCAAAACTCAAATAAAGATTAATATAATATTTGAAAACTGCCTTCGACTCTGGGTCTCTTTTTCTGTATCCTGGTTCGTTTTTCCAGTGTGATATTTGTGACCCCGGAGCACAAAAGCAGTCATAAGGGTACATTTTTTGGAAATTGAGATTTATGCATCATCTGAAAGCTGAATAAATAATCTTTCCATTGATGTATGGTTTGTTAGGATCGGACAATATTTGAAAATCTGGAATCTGAGGGTGCAAAAAAATCTAAATATTGAGAAAATCATCTTTAAAGTTGTTCAAATGAAGTTCTTAGCAATGCATATTACTAATCAAAAATTAAGTTTTGATATATTTACAGTAGGAAATTTACTAAATATCTTCATGGAACATGATCTTTACTTAATATCCTAATGATTTTTGGCATAAAAGAGAAATGTATAATTTTGACCCATACAATGTATTGTTGGCTATTGCTACAAATATACCCCAGCGACTTAACACTGCTTTTGTGCTCCAGGGTCACATTTATTCTGAAAACCATGTATATTTTAAGTTCATTTTTCACTGGAAATCGCTTAATTTACTGGGTTCATCAACAATTCAAAATATTTAAAAAAAAAAACAGACAGAAAACTGACTCGTGCTTTATTTCTACAGAACTAAATATTTATAATTATATCAATAATCACTGATTTTATTAACTAAATGTGTATTTCATGATGACCCACTGTCATTTATATATGACAAATGTTTAAGCAATTTGGGAGTTAAAATGTTTAATAATGATGTATACATACATTATTTTTTGTAATTAGTTTCAGTAAGTCCTGGCCTGTAAATATACTATTTAAGCTGCTATTTAAACTTGATTTAATGTTTATGAAAGTTTCCGTGCATCTTTGTTTATTCTGTGCAGGGGTTCAACAGAGTAAACAAAGATACGCAATGAAAATAAAATAAAACTAAAAGCATTAAAACGTTTACAAATGCTGACAAGTTTTTGAAATTGATTTGAATATACAATAAATAATACAATGCAAGCCTCTGTTATATTGCTCCATATTGTATGGAAATAAAGCTTCATGTTTTTAAGTCCATACCATATATAGTCAGCGTTATTTCTATGAATGAGTTATATGTATATTTTTAATGTCCCTGACTGAGCAACATCTATTTCAGACTCTTAAAGTTCACACAAATTCTACGGCGTTTTATTAGCATTAATGTTTCCATGTGTTATGTTTCAATATTTTGATGAAATATTAGGTGTTATGAAAATGTTGCCAATTATTACTCCCATTATTACACATCTTTTTACATTATATGATAGATACAGTAGAGTGTATACAGTGGGAAGCCCCATTTATCTTCATTTATTATTTCATTTTCATAAAGCAAAATGGTATATCAAATCATCCTGTTATATCTTTCATATCTTTCATAACATAGTTGAGAATCATCTGTATACAAAGTCCTGAAACCTAAAAATGTATTGGTGATTAATATTGTTTTTTTTTTGTCTATTCATGTTTTTGTGTTTTAATCCTCTACAGAGGACGTAGCATAACATATGAATAAAATATCATTTTTAAAAATTATTTTATTTTTTTGAATTATGCTCTAAAAATTGTAATGACGTGAAAAAATACTAGATTTACAAAACTTTTTTTTCTCGGAGTCTCTGGAGGTTAAGGCACGTTTGCAGTTTCTGTTAATAACAGATTTCTCATTTTTGTTGAGTTTAATCTCATTTAAAGCTTCTGAGGTTTGCAGCGAAACGCCTCAGTGAAGGTGATCGTGCAGTACCGCATTTAACCACACGAGGCGCTTCAAACAAGTGTATGTGCACAGTACCTATAACTGCGTTTTGCATCCGCTTTCTGCTGATTGCTGAACGAGATTGACTCGTGCTAAATGCCTGACCCACCGGTTAAGGCTAGATGGCGTACAGCAAAAACTACTGGGCATGCGCACATCAATACAGCGTAATTTTTCTTACACTGTGCAACAATTACTATTTTTGCATTATTGTAAGGGGTAGGTTTAGGGTTGGGGTAGGTGTAGACGTTAATAAAACACAATCTAATAGGTAGAAATTTCAATTTATTGTTAGCGTCAGGTTTTTGCTGTGTCCCTTCTAGCCACAACCGCTGGAGGGCCACTGTCCTGCAGAGCTCAGCTCCAACCCCTAATCAAACACACCTGAACAAGTTAATCAGTGTCTTCAAGATCACTAAAGATACAGGCAGGTGTGTTTAATCAGTGTTGGAGCTGGACTCTGCAGGACCGAGGTTGTCCAGCCCTGTTATAAGCTTATAAAAATGGCATCGATATTACCTTATCAATTCGAGCCCGGGTCCGAGGATGATACTGATGCAGTCGCTCAACCGGAAACTCCATCACAAGCATGACTTGATCAGGACGTTTCTCGTGGTAAGTTTAAACTTTGTATGTGGTACTTTACGTGATATGACAGCAGTTTTGTTGCATCATTATTATTATTTACTTATTTGAGGTGCACGAGAACTGTGTTAGACATGATGTAAACACACTAACTAGCGGAAGTGTTTGAGTGTTAGTATTTCTCAGGCAGGCGGGGATTATGCAAATATGTTACTTTGTGACGATTAACAGGCAGAAGATTAAAAAAATATGACGACTCGTTGAGGCGGTTCAGAGTCGACTCTCTTTTATTATGCACCTTTTTGATTAAAGGGGTCATATGATGCTGCTAAAAATAACATTATTTTGTGTATTTGGTGTATGCTCATAATGGAAGCGACGCGGTCGTGACGCGCACGCGGTGCGACGCGCTCATTTTTTCCAGGTGCTTCCGCGCTGCATCGAGATAAAAACATTTCAACTTTTCAGAATGCTGCAAGCGCACCGCGGGTCATGTGACAAGAACCAACCAATCAGCTTCATCCTTTCCCGTAACAACATTGAAAGCTCAGAACTTTTCAGAATGCCGCAAGTGCACCGCGGGTCATGTGACAAGCACCAACCAATCAGCTTCATCCTTTCCCGTTACAACATTGAAAGCTCAGTCAAGATGAAGGAACAGCTGATCATAGCTGTACAGGGATAGCCATTTTTAAATAAATTTAGTAGCAGAGCTACTGCAAGCGATTTTTAGTGCTGCAAATCCATTTATCCTTTGCTGAAACTCCCGAGTCATCATGGAGAGAGGAGGTCATGGTTGCTTAGCAATGGCAGACGCCTCCGGAGCGCAAACGCCCGAACGCTTTGGAGAAAAGCAGAAAGCGGCACGCCTAGCGTTTTCTACACGTTTTTAGGCGAGACATGTGAACGGCCCCTTATACTGTCTTTTTACGCGTTGCGTTGCATCGCGCCACGTAAACATAAAACCCTGTCTGCATTTGTGATCGGAGAAATGATATAGAAACAGCCTTTGAGCACAGACCCATTGTAGGCTACTCTCGCAGGAAACCGTCTTCGTCCTCCGTAAAATGTGTTGCACACATCTGAATATTTGTGTTAAACTGTTCTGGAACAGTGTTGTAAATACAACTTAACCACTGATTTCTAGTCGTGTCCTCTTTTTTCACAAACAGCTTGTAACACTCCAAAGAGAAAGGACTTGAAATCGCATCATATGACCCCTTTAACAACTTTGCAGACCGTTTACACTGAAGGATAGCTACGTTACAAACTGCAAAAAAAATATATTTTTCGAAAACCCATATGACTTGCTCTTTAAAGCTGCTTTTAAAAAGTAAACTAAATGCTGTATTTGTGTTACAGAAATTTGTATTATTTTGAAGAGCGCACAGGAGTAGTTCACTTCTAGAATAACATTTCCTGATAATTTACTCTCCTGCATGTCATCCAAGATGTTCATGTCTTTCTTTCTTCAATCAAAAAGAAATGAAGGTTTTTGAGGAAAACATTCCAGGATTTTTCTCCATATAATGGAGTTCAATGGGGACCAACAGGCTGAAGGTCCAAATCACAGTTTCAGTGCAGCTTCAAAGAGCTCTACAGCATCCCAGCCGAGGAATCTTATCTAGAAACCCTCGCTCGTTTTCTTTATAAAACAAAAAACATTTATATACTTTTTTTAACCACAAATGCTTGTCTTGCACTAGCTGGACTTCACGCATGATGTAATCATGTTGGAAATAAACCGAAACAGCGCTGTGAATTGATCTGATGGCGCAATATGGCAGTGTGCATTGTCCCGTATGACAAGTTCAAAGGCCAACTAAAAAAAAATAGGAAAATTGAAAAGTTGTCAATTTGTATTTTGTTAAAGCAGTACCTCTAGTATAAAGATTGTATGTCCGTTTTATTGCATCATGTACACTGGCCGAGAAACATCGCCATAAATTTGTCTGATGGCACAATATTGCTCAGTGTGCATTGTCCCATATGCTAAATTCAAAGGCCAATTAAACAAAACTGGTACAGTGAAAAATGCTCAAAATTTGGATTCCGTTAGGGCCATATACCTTCAGTATAAAGGCCTTTTGTCCAGTTTAATGCATCATATGTGGGCCGAGAAACCGCACCGCAAAATGGGCTCAGTTTGCATTGTCCCATATACCTAAGGCCAAAAAAAAAAAAAAAAAGTACAGTAAAGAGTGATCAAATTTTGGATTTTGTTAGCACAGTACCTCTTGTATAAAAAGCCTTATGTTAATAAGTATGCATTGGAAACATCTTGGAAAAAAATATGTAAATTTTTTTTTGTATGTATGCAAATTGTGCAATACCACATTTCTAGTAATTGTGCAGTTAATTCTCATATTGTATTTTCAGAAAGTTTTGGAATATTTTTCCTCTCCTGAAATTTGTCACTACTGAAACACAGTAATATATAATTAAATTTATAGGGTTATATTGACATATTAAGATTTTGTTTACATCTAATACAGCTAATTTTACTAGTTTACAGCTAATCAGCACATGGTTAGCTAGCACAGTTCTGAACAGTTTGTAAACGCATAAAAAATAAATGTTATGGAATAACACCCAAAAAAAGTGTGCTTAATTGAAAAAAAAGAAAAAAAAAGAAAAGGTGTTCGGTAGTGACTTTCCTTAATGTTACACAGATTTTCAGACTTTTGAGCACATTTATCTCAAAATGATGAGACCAAGCTATGAGAGAGACACACAGGAATATTCCCTGATCATAAATGTAGGGCTGTAGTTAAAATCAGTCTCAGCCAATGGACTAAAACATGTACATTTCGCTAGTGAAATTTAAAAGGAAAATATAAAATAAATAAAACATTTTAACTTCACTTTAAAAAAAATATTTCAATTAAAAATATATTTTTTAAAACAACAATTGAATAAAATGCAAACAGTTTTTCAGTATAATTTTCATAAGCATAAGTTTAGGGTTCAGGACAGCCACCTCCCAAATAAATGATGATTTAATAAATATTAAGCTTACTGATATTATTGTGTGTTTCAATAGAGAACAGAAGGATCTTGGTAAACATCTAAGATTTGAATATTTAAATGCTTCTTAAATGCGTTGTTGTTTGTGGGACAGCAGTTTGCACCAATTCTGTAGAGTGGCCCACATACAGCACTGTGATAGACTGACCATTAAATTATAAGCTAGTTTTTGCTTTAAAACACACATTGTCCTTCCACTTCCCTGATTCGTTTAACAATAACAACAACAAGTGCAGATCCACGCACAATCGAACGGCTAATATAGTCCACAACCAGTGTTGGGAGGAACGCGTTACCAAAGTAATGCATTACAGTAACAGATTACGTTTTGCTGTAACGCAGTAGTGTAAGGCATTACTAATCAATTTTCAGTAATATTTTACTCGGTACATGTTCAGTAACGCTTGCGTTACAACACACTTTTAGCCCAAAATTTAATTGTTCAAAGAAAAAAAAAAAAAAAACGGAAAAACCGCGA